TGACCAAGCTAAGCTAGATTAAGTCTAGTGAGTGGGTGTGATGCAAACTTGTGAAACGAGCATTAGGTAGCTACGATCAAGGCTAAGAATCAATGGGATCAAAAGCAAACACAAAGGTGTTTGAAAAGGAAGAGTTTGAAGTTTTCAATAGGACTCCAAAGCTTGTCTATAGTGCAACATTCACTTCATCTGTTGGACTCATATTAATTAGACCAATTAACACCCCCCCGCTCTTGGGAAGTTTGTAGTACGGTTTTCACCGCCGGTTTGGGCAGAAACGGTGGTGGTGAAAATGTTTCATCGCCTGTTCAAAATTTGGTGGGGGCACATGCATACGAAAAATCAGCGGTGAAAATTGCTTTCACAGCTAGCCGGCGGATGACCTATCGATGAAAATTACGGTGGTTATCACCACCAGACATATGACGAGCTTGCAGCGAAAACGATTTGCACCACCAGTTTTCCACCCAACTATATATGTTGTCCACTATGCTATCCAATCATTGCGGTGGAAATTGCTTTCACCACTGACTCACCATATGATTTGTGAAAACCAAATCGTGACAGAGACCATTGCGTTATTTTTACGTGGTAATAGTTGTATTTTTTACGTGGTAATGATCTCATGTTATGTATATTTCTATGTTAGCTTAGTTCTTAAACATACATCACTCATTTATAGACTCGTGGCTCTAGCTTGAATTATGTTCGGATTTGATATTTATATAGACTGATGGCTCAGTTCATCGTGGTTCCAAGTGATTTGTCAGTTAGACAGTTACTATCACAAAATAATACTAGTAGCAGCTTTTCTGAAACATGATCCAAAATTTGTAGTTTTGTGCAACATATATATATATCGAAACAGTTTGTAGATTTCTTGAATTTGCTCATTTTAATTTTTATCGTACCGAAACACACGTGTCATGGATATGTGTGTGAGTTAGCGTCTGCATGGATTTTCATCCGTTGCAGTATATGTGCATGCTGAGCAGATACCGTGTGCATGCATATGGTGGGACTACGAGCTGGGTGTGGGGGACCATATGCATGTATGTATTATCATGACATATGCATGGGGAGATACATGCATGCATGTATGTATATGCATGCAACCCCGAGATATCACATAGTTTGAGAAAGATGGGGTGCAAGAAGGAAAAGGACCTGTGCAAAATGTGTGCAGGCTTCTTTATTGTCGTGCGTTGACATGCATCATGCTCATGCCCCCACCATTTTCATTAATTAGTGCTTTCAAAGCGTGCACAACTGGTAGCTATACTGCATATATAATCTCAAATCTCCCTCCCCTTACGAATGGCGATTAGGGTAATTCAAATGTTATAAACTATAGGTAGTTTCTGTGCCTATTAATTTATGTATACATATAAAAACTATGTTACAATATACATAGATTCTACATAATATTTTTTTATCAAATCACATGTCTTTTCTTTCCATCATCTACCTCAGGATGGAAAAGATTCGCATGGAATCGGATCCGGATATCATCTTTTACCACATTTTAATTCAGATACGAATACGGATACGGATATTTTCGAATACGAATACAAAACGGATGTCTCAGATTCGGATACAAAACAGATATTTTACTCGATTCAACTCGAAGTCTATATTGTTAAATGCAACATATATGAATAAAATTTTACTACTAGTTCATCATTAAATGAAGTTAACTAAATGAAAGTACACTTCTAATAATCTCCAATATCGAAGTAAACTAAATTATAATGGATAAGATTTAATAAAATAATAGGTCAAGTGAGGAAATTTAAATAAAAATTGTAGAAAACAAATAGCCATTTTGCTTTATCAATATTTTTGGAATTACAAAATTACTACACAAGTAGAGGTCAAATTATGTGTGTATATAACATAGACAAGGATAGCTCATAAAAATAATATAGTTATTAATAAATATTTAATAATTAAAATATAAATAAATTAATTGATTAATATTATATTTATATAAATATATAAATAACTATCATAAAATATTAATTATATAAAGTAATTTATATCAACAAATAAATAAACTAAAGTATTAAAATAATTTAAAACAACAAATATATTAGGTTTAAACTAAATTAGAAAAATACTAAAATTAATTTAATCTTTACGTATCCTTTATAATTTTAAATTAATACTAAAAGGTATTTATAGATGCACTATTAAATGGTTCCAATGCATCATTAGTAACAATAAAATTAAACAACTGGTTACTGTTATGAAGAGAAAACTTGTAAATAGGTTCATGATACTTTGTTTCCTTTGCGGATACGGATACTGCAGGATATTGTCGAATACGGGTCTGGAATCGGATAGAGAAAAATAGTGAAAAACGAATTCGGATATATCCATTTAGTTACCACATTAGAAACGGATACGAATACAGATATCCATATTACAGGTTTTAGCGGATACAAATATCGGATAATATAATTCGGATATCCATTTCCATTTTCCATCCTTACATCTACCTATTACATCCCTTTTGACTTGGTTCTCATGTAGACATGGTTCTTTATCTAATAAACCATTTTCTCATCTCTCTTCTTTAATTGCAGTGCCATATCATCATTTTGCTTAAGTTTTGACACCCTAATTAATGAATATAGGAACTATCTAGTTTCACGATTGGGAGCGCCCTTATATACTATACAAGATAACCATAAATCAATCCATGTTTTCAATATATGCTAAATCAATCCATGTTTTCAATATATGCTAGATGGGTGTTTCCCATGTCATGCGACTAGCTAGTTGTTTGTGCAATTCAGAATGTCGAAAAATCTAGAGAACAGTTGTGCACTCGCCAAAAATTGTTTAAATTTGTACATGTATACCTTTGTAACTTTAGGAACGCTTCTTTTGAACAAAATTTGGAAATTTAAATTCGACGTTCTGCATCTATGCATTTTTTTGGAAGCCTATGGAAATACCAAATGTGCAAATTCATCACCGTACGTACCTAGTCATATTGACCCATATATATAATATATATAGGTTTGATCAATGGCTGGTTATTACTGGCAGCAGCATTTTGTATGCATGGACCTAAATGGCTTTGCGAAAGATAGGCACGCAAAAGATGGAAAGCCTAATACGCTAGAATATTCTTGATGAGTGATGTGGATAAAGGGTATAAAGTTTGGACGGAATAAACCTAGGGATTGGGATTATATCCATCCCAAGGACAGGCATGCTGCACATACTGAACCCCAGGCTTTTGAGGAAAAGCCATGCATTTGCAGGCATGTGAGAGATGCAACAGCAGGGAATTAGTACACTCAATATCCCAATTGCCCCCGTCCTTTTGCTTTCTTCCTTTGCTTTGGCTTCTTTATTCCCGGCCGGCCTCTTTGCCCTTTGCAATCAAGTCCAGGCATTTAACAAAAGCAAGCCCTTCTTTTGGATTCTCACCAGGTTGATATGCAGCTAGCAGGCCGAGAATAAACAAGCACATATCGGTTGGTAAATATCTGACCTACCCTGCTGCATTCACAGATAATGCAATAATATCAGCAGAATTTGGTTAATTGTTTCTTATATAAGTGCATCACTAGAGTTCATAAAATAGTAGGGCTGGGCTGGAAAGAGAAGACACAAATGGATAGGTACACAGTTTCAGAGAGCTCAACAAAGATGAATTTCAGAAAGCTCTGCTCAGCAGAGATGAAGTTTCAGAAAGCTGCACCAACCTTAGTGCGGGTGGTAGCACACTGTACCTTGTTGCAGATTACGTACATTTTTTTCAGCTGCATCAGAAGATCGAGCATAACACATGAAACAATCAGCCAATCAATCATCCAACAATCATAGACTGGCAGCTGCACTGCATCCCCTACCGCTGGCTGCATGCAAGGACTCATTCATGGATGCCTGCGTGCCTTGCTTTCAACCTCATCAAGGTACTGTGGCCGGGCAACCAGTCGGGGCAACCATATACCCCGGCCGGCACCAGAATTTGGGGGAGGTGGTCCAAGCTAGAGGCCAAAGGCCGGCTGGCCACCAGCTGCTCCACACACATGTTCTTGCATGGTGGGCGCGTGTTCCTTGTCCCTCCCTCCCTATCATCAGCGGCAGCCGCCGCACAATCTCCGATGGATGATGGATGCTCAAAGGGCGTGATGGGCGTCGCTGTGCCTCGAGATCCAGTCGAAATCTGGTCAGCTCCAACCAAGGTTCCTCCTGAAAGGGACACCAATAGCCATGGTCCATGGGCGACACTAGTGCAGCAACAGCAGCTAGGTAGCCCTACTTGGGCATTGCAAATTGTCTCCTCCTGTAGTCCTGTTGCTTGGAACATCTGCAAAGTCCAGCATGAACAGTGCAGGTTAACCTGTCTGTGCAGCATTATTTTGTGAGATAGGAGATTAGTGCCTGGCAAAAGCAAGGGTAAAAACATACATCCGTCAATGTGATAACATTACGGAAGCAAGCACACAACAGGAGCTCAAGATAAAAAACCGTACATGCCTGACGAGGGAGATGTAGCACACAGACGGTAAATTTTGTCGAGGTAGCACCAGTGGGTTGTACATCTTTATCTTGATGTGGTAGCAACCTATTTCCACTGATGAGAAAGCTTTAACAAAATTCAATTCAAAATAGTTGTGCACAACCAAGGCACCATTGATCTAGTCAAGCAGACCCAGTTAGGCCCCGGTTGGAGATCTGCATTCTAATTTCTAGGCAGGTCCTTAACTCTGTACATGAAGCATCTTGTAAGATCAGTAGAAATCATATAGGAACTAAAGTATATCAAAGTGCACCATAAAGGACATCAGATCAATTCTAACATATTTCTTTGATCAACTACGGGCATTGGTACATTCCACACAGAGAACCAGTTACATCTCTTGTTTCAGGTACATGAATTTTCACGAGCACAGAAAAAGTCATTTGTCTCATGTAGATATGATCCAATATAACATAATCTAAATGGTAGGATGGTCAAGAATTTGAATCTAAACTCGCTACTTTGGTAGAGGGGTATTTGCAAGCCTCCAAGAATAAGGCTCCAGGACTCCAAGAAGTCTGGACCCAACCACCTCACCAGCAGGGACTGCACCCGAGATTTCTTCGAGGTCTTCCTTGCTCAGCTTTACCTTTACAGCACCGATGTTATCATCAAGGTTCTTCACTTTTGTTGTTCCTAGATTCAGAGAGCAGTTATAAAACTTAAAGCACAATCAGATATAACTTGGATGGTAATTCAGAACAAGATATAGCTTATATGGCTATCACATAAACAACTGTAGCCTTTCCTTCTCTATATGAAGCATAGGGGCATTTAAACTAACTCAACATGAAATGAACTAGACTGTATGCTAAATTGTTAACAGCTACATCTGCAAAACATCTGGCAATTATAGCTGGAGAAAATTATGATTTTTAAAAGTTATTTTAGCAGCACAAACATAGTTTCCTAAGGGAACAAGGTGGATGAGAAGAACATATTCTTTTTTTTTAATCTAGAAGAACATATTCTTAAAAGAAAAGCATGCTCCACAGAATCTGATTCTGGAGTCAAGTTACCACACTTATTGAAGTGGAGAATAGCTGCTAAGTTTGAAACAGCCAAGGTGATGCTCTTTCAGTCTCAATGTTATCGAGGAAATTGCTTTTCTAGTAAAATGACAGGGATGATGTAACTGCACATTTATATTTCTGTATGTAAAAGAACACAATAATACAGAAAAGCACTTCATATACTCAAATAATTTATTTATTGAAAATTAGGTGATACTGCACTTTGGGGGTTAAGATGGTAAAATTGACAAGTAAAACTTGAGCAGTAGATTGTTCAAATTGACAAGGAAAAATTGTAATTGTCAAGGCTGACAGGCAGGCCTAACTGCCTAGCTGCGCAAGACATTGTCAAATTGACACGCTCCTTCCAATATCTGATAGAAGATCTTTGCTAGTTTCAGACAATTCTGCTAAGTAGGTGCATTGTTTAAAAGGATGGCACATTACTGCTTTTCTGAGGATTGGAATTCAGCTACTGCAATATATTGCTTTGTTCAGGGACAGATTAGCATCAATTTCTGAAATTGTTACGCAAAGTGCACACTTATCTACCTTCTATGGAGTAGAAAAATCTTCATTATGCATCTAAATTAAATTATTCAATTTTATAGAGTACAGTACAAGTTCTAATTAGGAGTTAGATGCATATAGTACATACATATATACCAATCTATGAAGGTTACTCAGATAAAAATTTGTGGAAGTTCAGATCACTCAAGTTAGTTCAAAGACCTGACCAATAATATAATGCACCACAGTCACAGCGAAACCCCTAAAGTCCAACAGTTACCACTTTTGTTCAACATATAAACCTCAAACTTCTATGTGCTTGAAAGGTTATAGATCACTGTTTACAGGCAGGATTCAGACTTCAGAAGGGCAGTGAAAAGACCAGGTGGGTTTTCACTGTAAATAGGCCCTGTATGTTTTTATAAAATTGTTCTGCTTCATAGCTTAACAGCACCATATGATGCTTACTTATTTGCACATGGATGTAATATTACATCTTATAGCTGATCCCAGCATCGGAACTTCTTAAAACTCATTAAAATTGAATAAAAGGGGATATTTCTTCCTAACTGGGCAGACAGAATTTTCTTTTCATTTTTGGTTTTGTGATGCGAAAGGTTTGACCCTGCTCACAGGAAGACTAGGTCATGGCCATGATAATATTAACATATAGTGTCAGGACATTACCAGGGATGGGGACCACATCTTCTCCTTGATGAAGAACCCAGGAGAGAGCAAGTTGAGCAGGGGTGCACCCATACTTCTTAGACAACATTTCAAGTCGTGTGTACAGAACTTTATTCTTCTCCAAGTTTTCCCCAGTATACCTTGGATGTTTAGACTGAGGAGGGACAGAGAATACACTAAGTTACAACAAATAACATCAATAACTTTATGTGTAGAAAATGATTATGGTAGTGTAAATTTCATTTACCAATAGACTTTCTGATGGTACACGCTCTACAGCTGCCCTGCCAGCAAAGAAGCCACGGCCAAGTGGGCTATATGGAACTATTCCAATACCAAGCTCCCTGAATGCAAGTAAAGCTTTCTATGACAAACAGATAATCGCATGATATTGAGGTTCAACAAACCAAAGTTCAGAAAAAATGAAGCATAAGTTAACTAGAACTTGCAATATATAAGAAAGAGAAAAATTGAACACCATCTAAACATTGCCTATAGTGTCTACACCATTGTTTTTGAGGCGTCGCCTAGGCGACAAGGCGTGGCAGAGGCTCTGGGCGTCGAGGGCGCCACGACCTACACTCGTATGGCGTCCGCTTAATCGAATTTGGCGTCGCCTAGGCATAGAAAGGCGTCGGACGGACGCCTACAGCCCCGCCATGGACGCCAGATGCTAATTAGCGAGGCAAGGGCGCGTCATCGACCGCGCGTCCGCGGGAAATCGACCGCGCTTCTGCGCCGCGGGGGAAGGGTGCGAAAATGACCGAGGCCCACGGAAAATCGACCGCGCGTCTGCCCCTGGCGCGGGAACTGTGACCTAGATAGCCTCTTCGCGCGAGAAATCTACCGCGCGAGGCATTTACCGCAAGTGCGGGCGAGGGGAGAGGGAGAGAGAAGGCGGCAGGCGGACCTTGAGCTCCGCTTTGCTGCTCCTCTGCTCGACAACACGAGTCCACCGGCCAGCCGCCCCTTCCGAGGAGCCGCCCCTGCATCTCTGCTTGGTCGTCCGCACCTGCCGTAGAGCCGCTCCAGCATCTCCGCCGCTGCAGGCATCGGCCATCCGCATCTGCGCGTCCACCGTGACTGTCTGACTCCGTCGGCCGTCCGCCTGTCCACAGCTGCCCGTTCATCTCGTGTCTCCACCTTCGCCGGCCGTCTGCCGTCCGCCTAGTATGCCCCTGCCTTCTCTCTGTTCCTCTCTGTTCCGCCTGGTATGCCCCTGCCTCCTCTGTTCCCTCCGCCTAGTATGACCCTGCCTGGTGCCTGGTATCTCGTCTCTGCTCTGAGTATTGTAGTATTTAATGCCTCGTGCTCTGCTTTTGCTCATGCTGCGTGCACCTTGCTCGTGCTCTGCTTTTATATTACTGAGCCAGTCTTTCTTTAGTGTTACTCACATATACTAATGTCTGCTTGTGCTTGGACTGCCACATACACTGCTACAGCAACATGGATTTGATTAGTATACACTTGCTTTGATTAGTTTACAGTTGCTACAGCAACAGGTCTTTCTTTGACTAGTATACACTTGCTTTGATTAGTATGTTACTGATTAGTAGTGCTCCCTTAGCTGTGCAAATTTGCTCTTTTCCTAAGGAACATGGGCTCAAGAATTGGCAACAAACGAGGTATACAATATGTGTATGGCGTCGCCCAGGCGTCCGCCACAAACGCCTAGGCGTTGTGAAGGGGGTCGGGCGGCGCGGAAAACATTGGTCTACACTGAAAGCAAGTCCCTAAAACGCATAACTTGAAAAAGTCTAACGGTCGATATTGTGTAGTCATCAGTGTAAAATCAATATTCAGCATCATATAATATGTAAACTGGGTTCTGGTGATTGTGAAACTAATAAGACAGATTTATGATATCAGATCTATACACTTGATATTATCAGATCTATACACTTGATATATAAGTACATAAACTTAAAAATTTACTCACAATAGTCAACAAAAACCTGATAGGCATAGTAGTAGTGTACATTCATAATATAAACAAAAGCAGGATAATTTTTCTCTCATATTTCAAAGATTATTATTATTTTTAATCAGTGATAAGGAATTTTCCAACAGAACATACTGTGAATAAAATTGTTAAGAACCAATAATGCTAATCAAGGCTGCAAAAATAAGTTCCAATGGAATAAAGGGATTGCATCGAAGGATAAGGTATATAACTTGCCAAAGTTTTTCTGTTAGTAAAGGTAGACAACATCGTTCAAGTATATAGGTTAAGGAGGGAATGAACCTGCAGACTGGTATTATATCTTCCTCTATATCTCTGGTCCACAGTGACCACTCCAACTGCACTGCAGTAATTGGATGGACAGCATGTGCCCGTCGGATGGTATCAACACTAGCCTCTGACAAGCCAACATACTTCACTTTCCCTTCTTCAACCAACTTCTTGAGTTCCCCCATCTACACAACCATTGATGATGTCAGACAGAATGGATGAAATGCAAACTACAAAGCATAGTTCACAGTCAACAGATACACACAGTTTCCTCTATAGGCACTGACTGATCAATGCGATGTTGGTAGTATATATCAATGTAGTCAACAGCAAGGCGCTGAAGGCTTGCTTCACAACAAGCTCGAACATAATCTGGAGTGCCCTTCACACACATGCCACTTGCATCAAATCCTGCAATGCCACATTTGGTGGCGACTTGCACCTTCTCACGTGGCAAATGCTTCAATGCCTGCACAACCAAAATATCTCCATATGATACTAATGACAATATACAATTTGTGTATCAAAATGGGCAAATGCTTGGTCGAGGGTGCCTATTTTCTTAATTTCTTCTTAATAAAATTCCAACTAGTTCCTCCTAGGTTGGTCTAGTTTTTGTTCTCAATGTCTGCACACCAAAAATACATTCATACAATACTGATGACAAATATACAATTTGTGTATCACAATGTGCTTTCGTTATACAATCAAGGAGGAACAGAACCACTGATACAGGGCACATCATGCTACTTATGCGGCTGAAAACCATACTGTATGGTATAGGTACATGAGTGTCCAAATGATCATCAAAGCCCAGGGTTGCAAGTTACAACCTTGGAATATAAATCAATTGGTTTTAGAAAGGGTCATCAAAGAAACAAAGCTGCTGTCCTCGTATCTCTTATACAATTAGGATCTGTAAGTAAGATCAACAACAACAACAACATAGCCTTTCAGTCCCAAGCAAGCTGGGGTAGGCAATCTGTAAGTAAGATCACTTAAGAATAAATCATGAGTGAAAGGGATGGAGCTTTCAGAGCTCCCATTATACTGGGATGAAAGGCTCAGAGCCTTGCACAGATGTGCACTCGTGATTCAAAAGATTAAATCAAGCACAATCTACTTTTGACAATTTAAATGATGGCTGAGCATGTGTCTGCTCAATGGTTAGGGTAGGCAGGTTTGGTTTATGCAAGGTCTCCATGGTTTTGTAACTTAATCTCTTTTATTCGAGATAATAATAGGATCTCACCTTCTGGTTTGGCTCATCTAAGCAAATGTGCCCAAAGGGCCTGTACATCAAGCCATATTAATTTATATTCCAAAATAGTATATGCAAACAAAAGATTGTAATTTAACTACCATTAGCTGCCTGGACAAATGAATGATTAGATTTTTTACATCATCTATAAATTTTACAAAGGAGGGACTTTCTCTCCTCCCTGCAACTTCACCACTGCAAGACAAAACAGGTATATGATGACAGTGACAACTGTAGAGTTTGACAGCACACAAAGCATGGTGGGCGTGGGGTTTGTAAATCTGCCCCACAAGAGCTTGGGAGGTGGAGTCACTTGTGAGTGATGAATGCATTTTTTTTTAAATAATGTTAACCGACTAAGAACAATATTATTACGCCAACATAGATAGTATAAGATGATGCCACCTATATAGTCACCAAGAAACACAACTCCTACATCAACATTCTCATCTATCCTCGTTGAATTCCACCGGCCTCCAGGCTCCAGACCAATGAGACACATTGGACTGGAATGTTTTTACCTTTCCAAGCAGGACCTCGTTGGTGTGTGGCCCATAGGCATCAGCGGTGTCGAAGAAGGTGATGCCGGCCTCAAACGCGTGCTTGATTATGGCGATCCCAGCTTCCTCAGGAACAGGGGCGTTGTATACTCCAGTGAGGCCCATGCACCCGAAGCCAAGCTTGGACACCTGCATTTCACATCCCACGAGCCCAATCGATCAAAACCACAATCAAAACCGGTCCAATTGCAAGAAAATCATTCTGGATTCCCTAGCGCACACGCAAGATTGCGCTCTTCCTTTTCTTCGCCAAACCAGATTCTTTCCCATTCCCCCTCTACGGGGACATTCGTACCAAATTCGAGAATCTCAAGAACCATTAGCATCAGGATGGCGACGAGCGGAGGAAGGAGCTGCGATCGTTTACCTCAAGGCCCTGCCTGCCGAGCCTCACTCTGGGCATTTTGTCCCCTTCCATCTACGGATTTGCGCACGGGGAGAGTGGCTGAGTGGGGAACTGGGGACTGGGGGCAATTGCGTTGACTGTTTGGCCTTCGGCGCTTTCAGATCTTGCTTAATGTAACCGCGGGCAGACTCTACTCGAATTTTGGTCCGTTCGATCGACGATCAACTGCTCAGAGTAGGCCTCCGGACCTCCATGGACACTGAACATCTTGTTTTTCCTTTCTGCTAGAATATGCCCGTGCGATGCACGGAACTAAAAATTACCATGATAGTTTAAATTTATCTTTGTGTTATAATATTACCAAAAAAATACTTTGAGCGAGATATTGACAACATTACATTTGTAGCTAGATCTGTCCTTATATGATTCATGTTCAATTAGAACGTAATTCAAGTTTTCACATGATCATGTAAAATCAATACAGTCTAGTTCATAGTGTAACAACTTTGTTTATCAAAACTATCTAAAGTGAACTTGAGGAAATTATTTTCTACCTACGACTACGGGATCCCAAGGTGAACTTTTAGCTAACATACTGTTTGTCTGTGATGAGATGGAAAATACAATCTGCTATGGACGCACAAAATTCAGAAGGAAAATACTTGCCCTAATTATCATACTTAAGCCATTTTTTAAAAATTTTCAGGAAGTTGATCTATTTTGTTACATAAGGAGCTTATCATTTTTTTAATTTTACTTTTTTTTTCTTTTCCATAAATTATATTGCATATATATAATTGCTTAATTTGAAAATCGCGTTAGCCATGGATGCAGGTTTAATGACTCTGGCCTGCCATGCACGATGATCAGCCTGTTCGGGATGCCGTATCGTATCGTGGATTATTTACTGCTGGTTGGTTTGATGTGAGAGAAAAACACTATTCCCGACTAAAAATTTACGATCGTTTACGACCAAGCGAATACTCCTTCCGTTTGTTTTTCTAAACCGGACAGGCGGTGAGGAGTCCTCTATCCTATGCGTTGGGTAATTAAAAGTAAAATTCTGGTTTGAGTAATAAAGAAAGTCCTGGCCGGAGGCGAGGCGTGAGGGAAGTTGGTGCGTGGTGCGCGCGGATCACACGGTGGCCGGGTAGTATATGTATTTGGTTTAGTTTTTTTTTTTTTTTGTCTTCGTAACCGGATAGTATATGTTTTTTTATCACTAGGTAGATGATTATTTTAGAGGTTTTTTATGTGTAGAGATAGAGCTAATTAAATCTACTCCCGTGTCCCTAAATAGAAGACATTTTTGTTTTCAAGAAGTCAATTTTTTTTAACTTAACCAATTATATAAAAAATATTAATATTTATAATACATAATTAGTATTTTTAGATAGATTGTTGAATATACTTTCATAATAAATTTATTTAAAGATATAAATGTTGCACGCATTTTCTACCAAACTAGTCAAAGTTGAGAAAGTTTGACTTGCACGCATCTCATAACGTCTTCCTTTCTAGGACGGGGGAGTATATCATTATAAATTTTGTACTCCCTTTGTCCCAGAAAAAATGACATTGTAGCCTTTAAATCATGTCATAGAAAGACGATCGTTTTAGGCATAAGTCTCACCTAAGATTACTTTCTCCCCTTCTCTTGTCATCTACTCCCCTGTCCCTCCCTCATCTCCCCTCCCTCCTCTTTTCCACCGCCCTCTCCTCTTCCTATCCATCGGTGACCTCCTCCTATTCTACTTCGACGGTCGTCCTCGTCTTCTCCTACGCCTGCATAAGGCCGGCACCCCCTCTCTTCTATTACCCCGCCGGCATCGCCTCCAAACAGCATCGCGTATAGGCCACGTGGAGATCCGCCACCTTCATCCTCTGCTCCTCCCACCCCCGCATGTAGCTTCCCCTTCCAGCGCTGTCGGAAAGGAGTCCGAGACGGAGGGCGCGAAGTCGCTAGATCTAGCTAGGACAAGGCGGCGGCGGGTGAGTGGGCGGTGCCTCCCTAGCGGCGCTCGACGCGGAGCAGATCGATCGCGCGGGGCGCGCCCCCGCGGGCTCCCTTGCGATGCTCGACGCAGAGTGGACTGGCGACGAGGTGACTGCAGACTCGGCTTACCGGCGACCTTGCGGTTCTGGATGTGAACGGGGGAGGAGAGTAGAGAGAGAGAGAGAGAGAGAGAGATTGTAGGGCATTTTGGTCTTTTTCCTTTCTCATTGATTGTCATTCCCATTCCTAAAACAACAATAATTCTGGTATGGAGGGAGTATTTCTGAGACCACTTCTAGGATTGGAGCTAGGATTTGAACATAAGGGGGCGTGCAAACTAGCAACAATCATGCGTGTTAAAATATATACACGACAAAGGTATTATTACCCAAATAAATGTTTGTGTTGCGGTATAAAAGAAAGTAGAAAAACAAAAAAAGGAAATTAATTAGCCTCAGGCCTCTATTCTTCACCCGATCAATCTAATTCTTTGGCCCGAAAAAGAATTACAATAATAACAAGTAGTTAAACGGGGCCATGATCCTAAACGTTAAAAATAGCAAACAATAAGTCACTTGTTCGTTTAGCCTCGGACAAAACAGTCACTTAAACAGGGAAAATGGTCATTTAAATAGACAATTACACAGAAATATGGTACACTGTGTAATGTTTAAATGTTGAGTATACTCACTGATGCTAAATAATATAGATTCCATTAGAGATCAATTCAAAAGGATTAAACAAGGAAAGCACTGATTTTCAATTAACTAGCTAATTAGAGTGTGTGCTGTGGGGACAAACTAACGTTTGATTGGCAATAATAAAAACAAAAGATATGGAGAAAATATTAGGAAGACCTACTTTTTATTTATATAAGATACAATTAGATATTAATATGGAGTAAGAACAAAAACTCATAGTACACATAGTATCATTAACTAGCTAATTAGATAATTAAGCACCTAATTTAGGGGGTGTATTATGGGAGGTATGGGAAGCTTGGGGGTGCCAACCCCCTTACCCCTTCCCTCTGCCACTGCTATTCATCATAAGGGCATCCGTAACAGTAAAAGCTAGTTACCAGCTTTAAGAAAAACTCTCCAATAGTGTTAACTGATAGCTCAAGCCCCTACTCTAGTGGTGTAAGGATCGAGGATGTCGCCTAGAGGAGGGTGAATAGACGTTTTTAAAAATTTATAACTTAAAATGCGGAAGCGTTAGTATATGAAATTCCAAATCAGAGATTAAAACCCCTCTAGAGTAGAAACATGGAGTATAACAAATGCCACAAAGGTAAATAAGCCACCACTCTGCAACACAAATCAATTAATCACAGAATTGCAAAGTTGCTGCAGGACCCTGCAATACCGAAGGCTCCAGTATGCAATACCGGAGGATCCGGTATTCACGGGTCAGTGATGTTCCTCGATGAACTTCCTCCTTGGCTCAAACTTTGATACAAAGATGAGGGGTTTCCAGAAGGTGAAATCTGAGTATACCTTGCACACCAAAGATCACAACCCAAGTAGATCGAGAGGGAAATAAATATAGCAATTCAAAATGCAATGAGACACAATATTTGTTTTACCGAAGTTCGGACTCTGGCGAGTCCTACTCTTCGTTGAGGGGGCTGCGAGTGATCTAGCGAAGGTCAGCTCTAGAGGACACACGAAGAACAACTCTAGCCAGAGTCTTTTCCAACTCCTTTTCCTCAATCCACTAGGTGATTCCTTCCCTTGCCGAGGCGGAATCAAAGCCTTCACAAACTTGCCGCAGCACACCACAATCCTTAGTTGCTCACCGGCGACTTCTAGCCGTCTAAGAGCCAAGCTCCAAGAGTAATAAATGTGAATCACGAGATCGGCGAATGCCACAAGTGCTCAAGGATTTGCTTACTCTCTTTTGCTCAATATTTCAAATCTCACTCAACCCACCACTTGGATTTCTCACTTAGAAGCAATCTCATAAAGAGAGGGAGTGGGAGTGTCTCACAAGGCTCTAAAACGTGTATGGAAGTGCCAGGAATCAGCAACACTCAAAGAGGACGACTTGGGGGTATTTATAGCCCTCACTCAAAAACTAGCCGTTGGAGCTGTCAGGTTCATACCGGACCCTACGGTATTACCTACACAACACCGGTCCATTAGAAAGTTAAAGGCACGAAAGACGTCGGAACTCCCGAGGCTTGCCGGAACTTCTGACTCCCGGAACTCCCGACTCTTGCCAGAACTTCCGACGAACCAAACTCGAGAGCACCATATCGAACCCTCCGGTATGCAATACCAGGCCCTCCAGTATTGCCCTCAACAGCACACCAAGTTAGCACTTTTTGCCACTCTTCTCTCAAACCTCACATGGGTTAACCTGAGCATCTAGAGACAATCAACTATCATCATGTTGCATCAATCTTAATAGTACGGCATGCCTATAAACTCAAGTTTAGGTAAAATCGAATTGAAACCGCTTGAGTTAACCTTCTTTGAACCCATGCCATATCTTTCAATCTTCATCAATAAGAATGCCAACATGTCCATTTTGATTGTTGGTTGAGCATAGCCATCTTGAGCATGTGGCTTGGTCCAATTCCATTCGTATGAATGAATCCAAATGCACCAAGTCATTTTAATCAAATGATCCAACAATGATTTGATTCTCCTCACAATACAACCTCTTTTAGCTTGATTAGTGACATGACTAAATGCAAGTACTTTCTTCTTCACCACAGCCATGGTCCTTCGGCGCCCAAGCCGTCGCTTGACCTTCACCTATGCTTGGTCCTTCGAAGCCTTTTCCTTGCTATCTTCACCTTCACAAGCCAATCCAAGTCATACCATTATTTGAATCAACAATAAGCATACATTGAATTCCATGAAGTGAAACCATCTTCATTAACATTGATTTCATAGAAAGCTCTTTAAATGAGACCATTCCATATGCAAGACCTCATGTCTCATATACCAATTCAAATATGCTTACTTTCATATGAACCATAGATGTCCAATAATATATAAGCCATTACTTGAATTTCATTTCAACTGGAACACCATCAAGTTTGCCTTTGTGCTTGAACCATTGA